ATAATTTTGAAATTATCAAAACAAAATAATGCTACTATTTCATTTATAAATGGATTATTGCAAAGAAAGTTGTTGATTGTATAAATATATATTTATATCAAATCATTATATTACCATATTATTATGAATTAATCAAGTATACTATTTCGTACTTAATTTTTTCTTATTGATATATTTTCTATATTTCATTTGTACATAAATACTATATAACATATATAACATATTATATGAATCTGTTGAAAAATCAGTATATAGATATTGTTAATTGAATAAAATTAGAAACCATTAGTTCCACATGTACTTCCGGTATTTTATTTATAAATTTAGATTTAATATTTCGAATAATATTCATATATAAATAAAAGATTTTAATAAGAAAAAAAGATTAATCATTAATAAAAGATATATCATTATCAATGTTATGCAAAAAAAAAAATATTTTTCATTATTATTATTATTATAGCAATTAATTCTTTTCTTATATTCAAATAACAATGTCGATTGTGTGCTGCAATCCGGCTGATCATGACGGCGCCAAACTACTTTTTCTGCCGAGATAGACCGTGACTACTGTACACGTAGTTGATATATCGCAAAATTGTATCGATAATTTATTAATTTAGAAATTAATTATAATAGAATCATTTGCTTATAATTAAAAGCACAAAATTGAATTGATTATTCAAAGAAAACGATCTTTTCTAAGAATCAGCAACAGTTGTTGACAGAGTAGAAATAACACGTTCTTCCGGTAAAATGTTAAGTATAAATTCATTGAAACTAATTAAAGCATACACATTGTAAAAAAAAAAAAAAAAAGAAAAATAATATATTTCAATAATACGATAAATTACGAATTTATTATTTTGACAGAACTCACCTTAGCCATCGTATCGTGGGTGGGTCCTAAAGATTGCTCGAATCCAAAAATCGCTGGTTCCGGACCCAGGAGTCGTTGTTGCAATTGATTATCATAAGTTTCGTTCTGCAAAACGGTAATAGATACGGTGGTTGCATTCCCAAATGTTTTTTTTCACGCGACGCTTCTTTTGTACCCGTGTACAAGTTTCGTGGCGACACGTCGATTGCTTGCGGATGCCTTCACACAGCGACGCTCCCGACGCCGGCGTCGCCGAGAACGATGTTATTGATCGGCGCCGTGCGGAGGCGTCGCTACCCGCGAAATGGAGAAGGGGATGGAATTACCGGTGACGGAGATAGTACTTGAGGTAGCGGTGGCGCCGGAGATGGAATGACAACTAAAGCGCCATCGCCAAATATCTGTGATTGTTGTCAATTCTTTTTTTTTCTTCTTTCATTAACCTTATTGAAGCGGAGAAATATGAATATTTTTGGCAAAACAATCTTATATTTTTTAATATATTTTATATGATGATTATAAAACATCAAGAAAAAAATAACAATTCTTAATTACTTACTAAATTTTTAGTTACTTAAATTTTAAATAAATAGTCATATTCTATAGTTATTATTTATAATTATATAGTCTTATTTTAAATTATTTTTTTATTATTATAAATATAATATAATAATATTGTTGAAACTTCGAAGATATAAGAATACTATTATATGTATTAATTTTTAAAAATTAAGATATTTAATTTTTTGAAGATAAACAAATGTTAATTATAAATTTTTTTTATCGAACTTACCAGATTAAAATCGTCCATTTTGATTGTTCACATTCTTTCTTAAACAATTTAATTGGAAAATTTTCTAAATACATGATAAATTTTTGGACAAAATATGAACTTACACCTATCAGCAATACTTTCAAAACTAATATGAAAGACAGACTGATGTCAGTTAAACTTTTAAATTATTCTTTCTATGAAAAATAGCGAATCCGATTGCATGCTCTTTGTAAACAGACCAATGATCTTCGAGTAGTAACTGTCCTATAGTAATATTCTTATAAAAGTCCCGCTCTTTCTATTGTTATTCAAATTTGAAGAATATATATTTTAATTATATTATTATTATTATTATTATTATTATTATTATTATTTATAAATTCTTTAGTTTATAAATGAAATTATAAAAGATAAAAATACAATATCATAAAAACATTTTGGGAATATTACAAGGATATCATGGCGTGATCAATAAATAGATTAATAAAACTGTGTGTTTTCGTTGCACATAGATACACAGATAGGAAATATTTTTTATTTATACTCGGTAGCTGCACAACAAAGTAATTATCAGAAATGCAGATACAGTAGCACAAATGAAAATTTTTATATCATTGAACATTGATTTTGTTTTAATTAATAAAGAGAAGAAAAGAAGTACGTTTTTTGAAAATATTATAATATATATAAAGTCTTTCTTTAAAAAAAATTTTTATAATCTTTATATAACTTTATATAGAACTTCATGATATCATAATGTTGATAGTTATATTAAATCATCTGCTATTACATCATCGAAAGTATGAAAATTTTTACATATATGACAATAATATTTTAATAGATAAAGAAAGATACTTTCGATCATGATAAATAATCATAATTGTTTGAAATAATGTACAATGATATTAATATTTTAAAAAACGCAAAAATAATATTGAAGAGAAAGTTCATAATTATCGGATTTATATGATAAATGTGGAATGGATTTTGCAGATGTGTTTTTATAGCTAAAAAATTTATTTACATTGTCTAAAATAACCATGAATCTCTTCCAAATCACCAAATCACAAATTTGTTTATGTACATTTGTGTATATATATTCATTTTCTAAAACTATCACATCTTTAAATATATTTTTATATTCAGGATTTGTTAGTATAGGTTGAAATATGATTTTGCATATGAATGTTTAAGCACTATTTGACAAACAATATATATACTTGTTCCACTATATACTATAACAAATTTTTGTTTTATATTTTTGTAGAATATTTGAAATATATAATGTAAAAGCATCCAAGGCACAACTTGGGCGGCATGTACTTAAGTATATATGTATATAGTTCTAGTATTATAGTGCATTGTTGTAATATTTATTAAGCTTCTATTCAGTTCTGTAAAACTTAGCGATTAAAAAGTAATATCAGGTGATTTGGAAATGAGATTTGTGACAAATAGTATATCAATTGAAAAAAAAACAAAAAAGAAGAGAAAAGAGAAAAGAAAAATATCAATAAAGAATAGAAGCTCTAAATATACTTATTACATATAACTATTCGTACATATATATATTGCGGTAAAGCATTGTGCTCATTACGAATGCTACAAGCTCGATATACCTAAAACATTAGTTTATACTTTTCTTTTAACAGATATATTATTTTTATGATTTTCTATATACCAATTACAACATTGTTTCGAAGGAAAATACTTTTTTTCTTCTTTTGTTTAAACTAAATAGGTATTACAGGTGATCACGAAAAAACGATAAGTGGTACGATAAATGTTTTTTTGATTGAATATTTTTATTCATCGTGTAAAAAATCGTATTTCTTTATACGTTATTGTCATATTTTCTTATATGATTTATACTCCTAAATTCGAATACATATTTTTATTTTCACTGATCCAATAAAGTAAATACTTTTACCATCGTTGATCACCTACACGTAATTTGCTAAATTTGGTAGCAAACAATCACAGCTAGGTACATCGACAAATAAGTAACATCAAGCGGCAGTGACTTCTGTTCCACAGTTCTCAAATACTCTTAAAGTTATATGATCCGTATACTTTCATCATACTTATAATTGAAAAAAATATACGTAAAATATACATAAAAATAACTTGAAATATAATTAGAATTTATCAATAAGTCAGAAGTTCATTTGAATATATATCAGGCATTTCTAATATTGAGTCAATATTTGTAATTTTTTAATAATACCTGTATACCTTAATGCAAAATCAATTGAAATCAATATTTTGTTATGAATGAATTGTTATAAATGAAAAAACAGTTCAGAGTTGGTTATGATGAATTTTCAATGTATAACATTTCTTAATAAATTTTACTTTGTTTTAACCAAATGTTCATATAATTTTCTCAATTTATGAATATATGCATCATAATTCTTATGCTCAATTATTATAATAGAATTTTTATAAAATCGTTATTCATTAAAATATATAATACAAGTAATATTTTTCATAAATGAACATTTTGTATGTGACTCTTTTTTTGTTGATAAAATTTTTTACGTTTTTTTTATGATCAACAAAAATAATTTGTGATTTTAGAATTCAATTAATAAAATTTTTATGTCTTGTACCGAATGTAATACCAATTATTTAAATTGCACATAACATCATAATATAATGGTATACTTTTTATATGCACATAAATTTCTGTTGAAGCATGAAATTTATGAACATTTTTAAAAAGTGCATAGCTAACATACAAGTCTTACATTACTCTCAAGTCTGACAAGTAGCAAGTAGATGACTTTATGTTAGTTGTCATATTAGTTTCTTATAAGGCTACATCCAAAGGCTTACATTTCACGAATGTTAGAAAACGTTGCACAAAAAAATATTTGTATATGTATCAAAGTTAGTATTTCAATATGTCATCAGATACAGTTAACTTTTAAATGTCAACGTGAGATCAGCATCTGATGTATATATTGAAATATTAATTGCATTACTATTAGTAAATTGAAATTAATTACATTTAGATTATAGTCTTTATAGTAATAAATTTAAATAGTTTAAGGCTTGTTTAGGCTTATAAATCAAATGCTTCAAAAGCACACGTATTCGAAACTATAAATTTAAAACATTATATAATTCTGAATCATTCCCATATATTGTTTAATGATCTTTTATTTAATCGAAATCAATTTTTTTTCTGTTTTTCAACTATGTATAACTTTTAATATAAGTTTCGAAATAATTTAATGAAGCATTCGTGACATACCATTAAAAAATATTCTTTATAACAATTTTTCATATAAAATAAAGTATTAGATGTGATTAAATATATTTTAAAAATATGATTCTTCATATTATATATAACATATATTTTTTGCTATAATTCTTTTCCTATTTAACAGCCAAAAAATTGTACAGCTTGTACGTGTACACTTCAATTTTCGAAATTTCATTATTAAGGATTACTTTTAATAATTGTGAACGTTTGCAATCCTTATTTTTATAATCATATTATTAACTTTATTTTTTTCACATGAGAAGTCTCATATTAAGATAGTAATTTCTCATTTATCATTCTCATTATATTTTCATAAATTTCTTATGATATCTAATTTATTATGGCCTTATATAATATTAAAAAGTGTTCTTAAATCATTAAGTTTTTCCTACATTTCACTATTTTCTCTCCTTGCTATTAAACATAAAGCACAAATTATGATACAGAACTTATAGCATTATGAGGAGAACCCATTTGTGTTAACACTTTATCTAGCCACTGTAAAGGTCCATGTAAATGTGCTTCAATCCAACAAGGAGTGGATGTAACATCTTGTCTATGATATTCAGCACCCCATCCTTTAACAAATGACATTCTACAACAAAACACATAAGTATAATAATTTATATTGTTATGTTATATCATTCATAATGATAATGATTAATTTTTTAATATTAAATTTTACCTTATAGTGCACATTTTTGTTAATTCATAAACTGCTTCAAAACCATGATTAACACTTTGTGAAAGTAATTGTGCAAATTCTTGATTATTAAATATTTTCAATGAACATCCTGGTGGGATCTTACAAACTGTACTAGGATGAAATCCATGATGATGATTACAATTTCTAGATTGTACAAATATAGCAGAGTCAGAAAGACATTCTGCATAAACTTCACCACCTACATAATATAAATGTACTCCTTTGCCTATATGTCTTCTTGTATTTTCAATAGTAGAATTACGATTTACATTGGACAACTGTCCAAGGCAAAACCTATCAGAATTATTACTTGGATTTGTAAAGCCATCCACAATAACAGAATGGGAATGGCAATGAAAAACTTCACCCACTCTACAATTTAATTCATAATATGCAATAGAAGCCCAATAAGGTGGTTCTTGGTAACACACTGGAGCTACTTCAGCTGATCCACTTGTATCCATAGCTACAGGATCAGGTGGCGGTGACTGACCAGATTGTGAACCATCTTCAGGAGGAGAATATGCTGGAGGAGGAGTTTCTGGTAATCCATTAGTACCATATGGACTTTGTGGATTTGGTGATGTTGTACTTCCTGGACTTGGAACAGATCCAACAGATGACATAGGTGATGTTGGATTTACACCACCAGTAGATCCAGCATTAAATCCACTAGAAGAATAGGATACATTGTGTGGCATTGTTGGTTCTGCTATTTGTTGAAATGGTAACAATGAATGTCCAGGTGCGTATTCTGAATGCCTAGGAACTAATACAGGTGGTAATACTGGACTTTCCACTCTTTTATAATGATAAGGATTGATGCAAACTTCTTTTTGTTTAGCAGAAAAGGGATATTGACATAATTCTAATGGTTTTAATTCATGATGTGATTGCAAATCTGGCCATCTCCACACTCTACAATAAATTACATGTGGTAAACCTTTACGATGAGAAACTTGTAATCTACCATCTAAACTTCTTGGAATTGTTACACATTTACTAGGAGTGCCTGGACAACTTAATGCCCGTTCTAATTCTTCAATTGCACCTTTTCGTTTTTTTAATTTTTTTACTAATGAATCAACTGCTTTTTCTGCCCACTTTTCTTCTTCATCACCCTGTTTCCAACCAAGCAACTTTTTTACAGCAGGACTAGTAAATGAAAATAAACTATTCAATGAAGACATAGGTCCTGAACTTGATGATCCTTCTTCATCATCCATGTTAAAAATACTGTAATATATAAACTATATCTATAATTTTTTTTAATTTTTGTTTTTAGTAACCTGTAATTTAATATAATTCTATTAACTTCCGTATATTAAAAATTTTCTAATTTATTTTATAAAAATATTTTTTTCAAATATATTTTATTTTTATAATTAAAATATTATATCAAAATCAAAATATTATGATATTTAATAAATATTTAATTTATATTATGAGGATATTAATGCTAATAAAATAAAAGAAATAAATATTATGTTAAATATGAGGTTAGAATTTGATATTTGAAATATACAAAATATAAAATATTATACAATAACATATTAAATATTGTAAATATAAAAAATTAATATAATCAAAAATAGAAAATAACTAATAATAAATTACACAGAACTACTTACGTAGAACTTGCTTAGCGATCCAGCATTGTTTTTACTATAGTCTCCCACTCTTGTTACCACATTCTTGACGCCAATCTCTCGCCATGACAATCAAATAAAAATATCTATGAATTTATCGATTTCCACCTTGACTTTATCGTTTCTTAATGACAACAATTTTATGAACTCGATAAATATTTAAGCAAATTTTTTTATAATATAAAAGTCACTCACAATATACATAATATTTCTTTTTTCTCTTTTCTTTCACTACAATTTTTCTGTCTTCCAATCTCTATCTTTTTCACTCCTTTTTGTGGTAGAATCAGGGTATTTACAATAAGCAATAGTACCGAAAACTTTCAGAATTTTAATAAGTATTCATAATCTTCTTTATGTACTCACCAAAATTAAACAGCTAAAAATTATTGTAATACATAGAAATATATGAAACAAAATTGATTCCGTTCATATCTCACATGTAGTTTTAATTATAAATATTTATCATAGAAAGAACGAAATGTCGTATAACAGTATTATGGCGTTGCAAGAAAATCATGGCGCCTTGTTTATGAAGACAGTCCCATGAGAACTGTTTTAATGTTATGTACGTTATCTACAATTTGTCGAATTACTCTATTTTTATAGTGTTTCGTTGAAAACTAACTTCTTTTGCACACTTTGTTTGCAATATATAAACATTATATCTAATATAATTTATATATAGGTTTACGTACAGCAATAATACGCACCCATTGCACTACGTAATGAGAATGTATTCAACGATAAGGGCTGATCGTAGATGACTCACATCAAAAAGATGATGCATTAGAGAATAATAAAAAGCTTTATTATAATGAACAAATAACTGTTTATTTTTAAAAAATTTTTTATAACATTAATAAAATATAATATCTAATAAAATTATTTTATTAATTTCGTGTTTTATTAAATCGATTAGAGTAAAAAATAAAAAGCTGTGATTGGTACAAGTTGTACATATAAAGGAGGGAGATTTGATTGTTTTAATTATCGATTGTAATTATAAATATAAAAATCCTTATATTTAAATATTATAAGATTAATATATACAATAATACAAATTTTTTTTAATTTTATTAATAAACATATTGTTTTGCTAATGCTCTTAAAAATTTCGCTTTCCGAATATTTGCTGCTTCCCTTTGTATTTCTTCATTATTATTAGAATTCAATTCCAATGAACCAATCACTTTAATCTTAAAAGATAATTAAATATAATAAATATAATGAAATATATATAAATCTTTAAATAAATTATATGTATAATTACTAACTGCTAATTGTTTTCTATGATGTTCACCACGTTTTGTGTGTAAATGAATGAGATATTCAAGTATTGTAGTATCCCAAATACAATGATAATATGCATCCATAGCATCTGCTGGAGCACAACTTTTTTGATCACTAGCTGCCATTTTAAAAGCTAAAGTATAATCTACTTCTTCTAAAAATTGACATAATACAGCAGCTTGTGTATAACATTGTAAATGAGCACAACATTTAATCATGCGTCTATAAACAAGATCATCAATCTGTGATCTTGGTACTGGTTGACTAAACAGATCACTAGCTACCATAATAGCTTCTAAATAATACTTTATTGCACTTTCATAATATCCTAGAACTAAAAATATTATGTTATTATTTTACATTCGAAATATTTTAATATATTTTTTCTAATACAGACCAAAATTAAGATCTCCCATCAATCTTAGCCAAGGAACATTAGTTGGATAATATTTTAAAGCTTGTGTTAATAATTGAAACAGTAATTCTCCAATGCTTCTTATATTATAAGAATTAGCACTACAAAATTATGTTTATATTATTTTAAAATAATATAAAGTTTGTTATATGAAAACTTACTTTGGTACAACAGCAGGCCAAAGAGAAAGATATTGCGCATGTAATTCAAGACTAGATTCATCGCGTAGAACATTTCGTAAACGTGCTAATAATGAAATAACAACAGTAAGAACCATAGGTTCACGCAATCTACTAAGTGTACCTCCAATGCTAGCAATAACATCTCTTGAAGCACTACCAGTACTTGTTCCACTATTACCACTATTACTTCGTTTTTGTGGTTGATCTCTACTTGGCCCAAAAGCAGTTAATACTAAAAATATAATTTCATATTATATTTTAATATAGAAATTTATATATGGCTTTTTAAGACTAACCCATATCCCATGCTTCTCTTGAAAATTTTCTTCCTGCTTTATATTTAACAATATCTTGACAAACACTACTAATAGCTGCTGCAAATTCTGAATAACTAAAACGTTTTTCTAAGCTTGTTAAATAATCCCATTCAGTCATATTTAAAAGAAAAACAGTGCAATATTCAATAATTTCTTGTCGTGGAATAACTTGATCTGTAGCTTGTAATGCTCCAAGACATTGTTTACATCTTGTAATTAAGTTTTCTGTATCACCTATAATTTTTTTTTTAATTATCTTAATTATATTAAAATAATCACGAAATTAAATGCATATACTTACATATATTTGTTGCTGGCCAATTGTGAAGACATCTTAAAATTTCAATAAGCAAACATTCCCAGTTTACTAATTTACATAATTTAAATATTAATGTGTTGCCACTTTGTGAATGTTGTTGTACTTCTTTTTCTAATACATTTAATATTTCAATTGCTCCTTCAAAATCTTTAGACATTACTAATTCTCTACTTTTTGCTAATAATACGTATGAATAATCTTGAAGAAAACCTCTAGAAAGGGACATTACAACACTTTGTAATGGAATAGGTAATTCCCAACAACTATTCACTAACCATAAAGGTTTCATACGATGTTTTCCATCTAAATGTAATAATATTTCATGAATTTCATTAGTATCATATGATTGTATTAATTTTTGTTCTAATCCAAATACTTCTATTTTGGAACTTTCTGCAATTTAAATTTTTTATAATTAGATTATGATTAATATTTTAGGCTATAAAATCAATACTTATATATTTATACTGACGAGTATATGTTATTAAAGGTATGCCCCAATCATTTTTCAATAATAAATCTGGTAACTCTAATTCTTCAATAATAGCTGATTTTCTGATGGTATCTAGTTCTTTATCATTAAATAATGCCATATATAATGGATCACTAAGTATTTTGGAAGCAAATCCATCAATGTTACTTGTATGTACGAGATAAAGGAGATAGCGCGAAATACGTGTTTTGTCTTTAGTAGTAAGTTGTTCTAAAACATTTTCAAGAGCCTAAAAAAGATTTTATATAAGATAGAAATTAAAATAATAAATATTAATAATTTGTTAAACTAATAGAATTTTACCAAAAAAAATACTTCAATTCCTTTACTACCAGCTGCTTGTATTTCTGTTATATAATCACCAAGAATTATGCTACCATCCAAAATTTTTCTAATCAAATTTAAACATTGAATTTGAAGCAAAAGATCACGAGCTACTACAATTTTTCTATTAACAGATCCTCCTTGCACATCAAGTTCTAAATTATCTCTATAAACTTGAGGAATTTCTCTTGAAATGTTATCTGCTTGAAGAATTTGTAATATATTCTAAAATAAATAATTATCATTAACTCTTTGCATAAAATTCAATTTCTATAAAATAATATTTAAATATATACAGTATATTGATCTTTAATTGATGCTTGCAATTGTTGAGTAAGACTGGAAGTTACTCCTTCTATGGATACTTCGCATGCTAAACAACAACCATCTAAAGATTCTTTTCGAATTTTACAATACAACATATCTCCTGAATTATTGAAATTATAAAACAATTCTTTGGCTTGTATAATATGACGTTTTGCTTCTTGATATTCTTCTTTTAATAAGTGAAATCTTGCTAAATCATAATGTATCTAAAAATGTTGAAATAATTAGTAATATAAAAAATTATAAAATAATAATAAAAATATCTTACTTGACATTTAAATTCTTCTAAATTAATGGAATACATATTTTCCCAATTTTGTTTAATCTCTATACTATCTTCAGATAACATTTGGAAAGTGTCAAATGATAACATTTTTGGACTTATATCTTTACTTTCAAGAACATTATTTAATACATTTATACTATTAGATACTTGAGCTTCTAATTTTCTAATTATATCATCTATTATACCAGGTGGTACATATGTTGATTCTTGAATACCTGGACTAACATATATAATGAATTATAATGAATTAAAAAACAAAAAAATTATGTAAAAAATATTAAATATATGAATATTTATTAATATTTATCTTACATATGAAGAAATTGTTGTTTTGATTGTTTATTATTTAAGGCTCTATAAATAATTGCTCTTATATGCCATCTATGATATAAAACAATTGTAAATAATACTTGATCTGAAATTGGATGTATTGTAAATTCAGGTATAGTTGGTATTTCCACAATTAAATCCGATGTTATATAAAGAAGATCTTGAAGTAATGTTAATTGTATTGGTAACGGTAATTTTTTTTCTAATACATCCAAATCCCACTTTAAATGAGCTGCTATTTTCAAAGAAAGAATTTTTAGAGCAAGATTTCTATGAGTCCATTTAGTTGCAGTACTAGATTTTGCATCATTTGATTCAGTATCAACAATTTTTACTTCATTTTCCTTTTGTTCTGAATTTATTGTCATAAATTTGATTATTAAGTCCGTTGCTGAAGGATCTAAAAATAATTTTAAATAGTATAAATAATAGAATATATTATTAATAAATTTATTATATATAATAATTAAGGTTAAATTATTACTAACCAGGAGAAGGTTTAGATAAATGTTGTTGCAATAAAGATGGATTTAATAAAAATTCAAACCAAAGTATTGTATCAGGAGATATCGGCACAGTGCCTGGTCTTAATAAATCTACATCCATCATTGCATTATTTTCAAATTCATAACACAATCAGAAAAATTGTAATCTTATTCTTATACTTTTTAGAGCTTATTTTGAAAATAATCTTAGATGTCGCTAAAATAAGATATAGTCAATTATAATATAAGATATAGTTATTAATAAAGAATATAGATGTCGTATGTAAAAGGCGCGTCATTCTAATAGTAAATGTTTGATCAATTATGAATATACTTCTCAATTTGTTATATTTATACAATTTAAGAAAATCATATCAATCATGGCAAGATTAACTACACAATATATTGAGAAAAAATGCTCACAAAAGCAATTAAATAAATCTCTCAGTAAAAAAATAAAAAAGATCAATTATATTTAACTCATTTACGTATGAACAATATGTTTATCAGCAATATTGTAAGTTATTTTTTATTGAAATAATAATAATTATAATTTATATTAATTTATTAAAATGTAATTTTTATATATGATATATTATATTATTTTATATATTATTTTAGCGTAATTTCAGTAATTATAAAAATCTTAAAGTAATATATTTACAAAACAATACTATTTCAAAGATAGAAAATTTACACTATGCGTCTAACTTAACGCATTTATATCTACAGCATAATATAATAAGTAAAATAGAAAATTTAAATTATCTTGAAAAATTACAAACACTTTATTTAGGATACAATAAAATATTAGTAGTAGAAGGTCTTGAAAATTTGAAAAATTTAACTGTTTTGCAAATAGAAAATCAAAAATTACCTTTTGGAGAATCATTATGTTTTGATCCACGAAGTATACTCGCTTTATCCGTAAGTTGTTTTTATTGTTATTTTTTATTATATATATTTATACATATATATATATGAGCTTTTTCAGACTTGTTTAAAAGTACTTAATATTTCTGGTAATAAAATAACATCTCTAAAAAATATTAAAGAATTATATAAATTAGAAATTCTAGATGCTACAAATAATATTATTGATGATATCAATGATTTAACAGAGACTATAAATATCTTGATTTCTTTAAAAGATCTATCTCTACAAGGTAATCCTGTAACAAAATATTATAGGTACAAGGAAAATCTTATTGCAAATAATGATTCAATAAGTAAGTTTATTTATGTTTATATATGTTATTTATGTTGTTTTATTATGTTTATTTATTTATTATTTATGTTTAAGTTTATTTATTATGCCTTTTTTTTCAACATTTATATTTTATATTTTAAATGATATTAACTTATAGAAATTCTTGATGGAAAAATGATAACAGATATATGTAGATGTTTTATGAAAAGATTTAAGATGAAAAAACATCTTTATCATACCAAAAAATTATTAAATACTGCAGATGAAGACATTACAAGTATGATTATTGATAATGAGTTTATAGTAAATATAATTTTATATCAAGTTTTACATATTATAGGTTCATTAAATTTACCACCTGCATTAAAAGCATCAATATCCAGAGCAATATTTCAACATCCTGATTCAAAATTGTCTACAATTACATCTGTAATTAATAAGACACAATCATATATATATCCATCATGGAAAATTGGTAATTTAAATAGAAAGCCATTTCAATTATTCTTATTATAATAAAAATATATCTATTTTATAGATTTATAGATTATAAATTATAATCTATTTTTTAATTGTATCAGGTGCAAATATTATAAAAAATGGTCGTATTACTCCAAAACCATTTTGGAATACGATTAAAATTAAAAAAACCAAAAAGTCTAATCATGTACAACCAATATTAAACACTGAAATTATTAAATTACCACTTATTTAAATAACTTATTAATATTTTATTATATAGAGTATGGAATATGTAAAAAAAAAACAAATTTTTTTGGATTAAAGGTATTCTTCTTGTTTATTAATATTCTTTTTTAGAAAATTATTTCTAATTCATTGTATATTTCTTTTTATTAATTTTTTTTTATAATTAAATATTAAATAATTTTTGTATAAATCATTAATTATTGCCTGCATGCTGGAAAGTCGTGTATGAGATAAAAATAAAATCAATGATTAAATTGCACTGAAAAAAATATATGACAAATTATGTAAAAAAAGCGGCAAACTAATTACAATTATTTTATACAACTTTCTAGCACTGAGGCGACATTTATATGTGCATTAACATAAAATTTTCATAATTGAAATAAAGTACATTGAAATTCATGCGTGTAAAACAATAATTCACATTAAATATAACAAAACGTGCATAGTTAGAGTTACGATTTTCTTATACATAAAATACTATTACATAATTATATATTATAGAACTATAATATTAAGTATAATATTGTAATTATCATATTATGACTAAATGAATCATAGAAAATTTATTAAAGTACAAAATATTATTAACTACATTTGTACACTGCTTGAAGATTTATATTTTATTTTTAAAGCTTAAGTTGAATATAATAAAGAATTTTTATCCTCTATATTATATCTCCAATAAGCAACTCTTCAAGCAGAGTTAATATAAAATTTTGATAAATATAATTGTACGAATAAATGAATAAATAAATTTTAAATGACACAAGCATTTATGATACATATTTGTTAGTCACTATAAGCATGGAATGTTAGATATAATAAAAACAAATATATAAATAATGGAATTATAAGGTACAAGAAAATCAATATATTTTTTAATATAATTTTACTGTTTTTTTAAATATCGAAACATAAAAAATTAATTTATGAAATTTCTAAAAATGCTTATAAATAAAAAAAGAAATAAGAACTTACAAGAAAATACAATGGTTGAGCATATCTGAAATATAAGTTAATACTATGAAATAAAGTGAGATTAATCGATGTATTTTGTAACATTCAAATAATTCATTAGTTGCCAGCATAAAACGAGTTGTAATATACAAGAGGAAATGCATTTCACACGTAGATGATCTATGATATCCCTTTGTTCTAGAAATTTTTATATTTTCTTTTTTTAAACATTAAATTATATAATATTATTATAACAATACTGATAAATACTGCAGAAAACATTTATAATCTTTAAGAAAAATTGTATATATGTAAACATTGTATAAATGTAAACAATTACAAAATTATATATTATATACTAACATAAATATTTCAATTTATTATATATTATGTAAAAAGTATAAAAGTAAAAAAGAATTTCATTTACATCAATATGTAAATGTATGATTTAACATCATAAAATAAATGCTTTTGTGCAAAATGCAAGTATAATAATAATGTATTAATAGCTTTTAAATAATATATAAAAGAACAAAAGCATAAACAAGCCTTCTACAGTGTGATATGCATATTTTAATGTTGCTTTTTAATTACCACATGTACAATATATATGT